CAAGGACACCTGAGGCAAACTCGCCACCACGGTCTGAGTGAAGACGCAAGACAGGGAGACCGCGGTGGACACGCGCAGAGACAAGCCAGGGGATGAGGGCGCCAGGCACGTCGGCCTTGCGCTCCAGGGGAAAGACTGTGGTGTAACGAGTGAAGTCGTCGACAAGCACAAGGAAGTAGCGCTCGCGACGCGGCCCAGGGACGGGGGCGGGGCCCCAGACGTCCAGGTGCAGGGTCTGCAGCGGCGCGGCGGTAGGGGGGAACGAGGAGGAGTGAGGGGCACGGCGAAGCCGACCCTCGACACAAGGCGTGCAAGGTGGAGCTGGGGAGGAGGGAAACGCGGGGAGTGAACCTGGGAGACCAAGGACAAGACCGTGCTGGGACATGTGACGCAGACGCGGGAGCGCAGGGTGACCTAGGCGGTGGTGCCACAGGAGGGTCGGGTGAGTGAGGGAGCGACAGGAGCAGGCAGCAGCAACCTGGGTAGACACAGCCACCTGAGGGGGCGCTCCAGCCGGGGGGGGCACGGTGTCCAGAGTGAACAGGCCGGACACCGGGTCCCGGGGGAACGTGGACAGGGGGGCACCAGTGGCGGCCTCGGTACAGACAGCATACCGCTCGTGACTAGGGAACGTAGTGGTGACGCCAAGGTCCTGGAGGCAGCCGACACCAACTAGGTTCCTGGAGAACGAGGGGATATGCAGACCTGTAAGAGAGCCCGAAGGAACCGCCGGACAGGGAAGGGTGGTGGAACTGCGGGCGACTACCGGGCCGCCGGAGGGGTCAGCAAGAGAAACGGCAGCAGGAGTAGGAAGCGGCGTCAGGGTGGTGGAGTCGCGGAAGAAACACCGAGAGGCGCCAGAGTCCAAGGTGAAGGAAAGCGAAGCCGAGGGGTCTGGCGACGGAACGACGGCAGAAGCACCAAGACTACACAAAGCAGGGGATCCTACGCCTGACGCAGCAGGGGAGGCTAAGCTAGGCACACCTACACTAGGCAACAGTGAGTAATAAGTCGGAAGCACACTAGAGTCATCAGCATACATCACATGCAGAGCAGAAACAATGGCATCCATGTCCATATCAAAGATCTGAATCTGACGACTAAGCAAACTGTGCCAGTCCGGGAGGTCTGGCGACGGGCCGAACCGCTGACGAAAGAGGTCGTCCAGGCGACGAAAGCAGCGGGGAGTGGAGTGACCGATCTTACCGCAAACGAAACCGCGGCGAGGACCGGTCTGGATCTGGTACTGACAACGCCCGCCGGCAGAGCCACCACGCGGCACACCACCACGCGCCCGTCCACCGCCAGCGCCGGGCCACCCTGGCGGGAGAACACTCGTCTGCCGCGTCTGCGACGGCTGCTGCGGCTGCTGCGAAGGCTGCGACTGCGGCGGCTGCTGCGGCTGCTGCAACTGCAGGGGCGGCGACTCAGCTGGACTGGGCAGGGTCCCCTCGTCCGCTCCAGCACCAGGCGACCCGACCCCACCACTACCCCCGCCCGCACCCCCGCCGCCCCCTCCGCCGCGCCCAGCCTTGGGGCGGCGGCCCTTCCTAGAACGGGCCTGCGCTGCAGCAGCAGTCTCAGCCACTGCGGCAGAGCCGTCGGAGAAGGTACACTGAGCGGGGGCACAACCCTGAAAGATAGGGACCGGCACGACACCGCTCGCCTGGGCGATGGAGCGGTGACGGGTCTCTATCACAGTCAGGGTGTCGACAAAGTCAGTGAGGGTGAGGTCTGCGGGGTGAACACTAAGGAAGCGGTCGCGGGCGACAGCAAGGCGGTCAGGGAGGCGGGTGGCAAGCAGGTAGAGGGTAGAGGTAATGGGCGGCTGGTGGGCTCTAAGCTGTGCGTCAGTGCATGCGGCGCGCCAGGTCTCCTCTATCGAGCGCAGGTGGGCAGCGAGGTCAGAGACAGTGGGGAACGAAGCAAGGTCAGGAAAGAGCAGCGGGAGGATCAGGCGACCCACCGAGGCAGCCGGAGGGGTGGAATAGCGCTTGATGACAGCATCTAAGTATGCCTGAGCAGTAGTGAGGGACCTAAAGCGAGGACGCTCGGACGGGGGGAGGGCGTTGCTAATGGCAAGCTGGGCGACAGCATCGCGAGAAAGCCAGACAGAGCGCGCACGGGCAGTGGCAGCAGTAGACTCACGCTCAGTGGGTGTGGGGTCAGCGGGCAGAATAGCAGGAGGGTCTGGGCAGGGGAGCGTACCGTCAAGGTGTGCGGAAAGCGGTTCACCATCCTGCCGCTGGCCAGTGAGTTGGCGGCGGAGGTCGGCAAGCCACGCCTCGAACTCTAGGGGCTGACCTTCAGCGTCGAAGCGAAGCTCCGCCGCCATCAGGAACAGTCCAGTGCTGTGCAGGGCGGTGCAGCTAGGTGGGGTGCGGTGCAGTGCGATACAGTGCGGTGCAGTGCGGTGCAGTGCGGTACTGTGCGGTACAGTGCGGTGCAGTGCGGTGCAGTGCGGTGCAGTGCGGTACAGTGCGGTGCAGTGCGGTGCAGGGCGGCACGGAGCAGGGCGGGGTGGGGGGGGGGGGGGGGGGGGGGGGGGGACCGTACCAGTGAGGAGGACGGGGCCGGGGCTGGCCCGACGGGGCCGGGCGGGCGCGACGGGGCCGGGCTGATGCGACAGGGCCGGGACGGGGCGACGGGGCCGAGCGGGCGCGACGGGGCCGGGCTGGGGCGACGGGGCCGGGCGAGTGCGGCAGGGCCGGGCCGGTGCGACGGGGCCGGGCGAGCGGGACGGCGGCCGGGCTGGTGCGACGGGGCCGGGCGGCTGTGACGGGGCCGGGCAGGGTGCGACGGGGCCGGGCGGGTGCGACGGGGCCGGGCGGCTGCGACGGGGCCGGGCGAGCGCGACGGGCCGGGCAGGGTGCGACGGCGCCGGGCGGGCGCGACGGGGCCGGGCGGCGGCGACGGCGCCGGGCGGGCGCGACGGGGCCGGGCGGCGGCGACGGCGCCGGGCGGGCGCGACGGGGCCGGGCGGCGGCGACGGGGTCGAGCGGGCGCGACGGCGCCGGGCGGGCACGACGGGGCCGGGCGGCGGCGACGGGTACGACGCGGCCGAGGAGGGTCGCTACGGGGCCCAGGAGGGGCACGACGGGGGGCCCAGGAGAGGCGCTACGAAGCCCAGGAGGGGCGCGACGAGGCCCAGGAGGGGCGCTACGGGGCCTGGGAGGGGCGCGACGGGGCCTGGGAGGGGCGCGACGGGGCCCAGGAGGGGCGCTACAGGGCCCAAGGAGGGCGCGACGGGGCCCAGGAGGGGCGCTACGGGGCCCAGGAGGGGCGCGACGGGGCCCAGGAGGGGCGCTACGGAGCCCAGGAGGGGCGCGAAAGAGCCCAGGAGGGGCGCTACGAGGCCTGGGAGGAGCGCGACGGGGCCCAGGAGGGGCGCTAGGGGGCCTGGGAGGAGCGCGACGGGGCCTGGGAGGGGCGCGACGGGGCCTGGGAGGGCGTTACAGGGCCCAGGAGGGGCGCTACGAAGCCCAGGAGGGGCGCGACGAGGCCCAGGAGGGGCGCTACGGGGCCCAGGAGGGGCGCGACGGGGCGCTACGGGGCCTGGGAGGAGCGCGACGGGGCCCAGGAGGGGCGCTAGAGGGACTGGGAGGGGCGCGACGGGGCCTGGGAGGGGCGCGACGGGGCCTGGGAGGGCGGTACAGGGCCCAGGAGGGGCGCTACGAAGCCCAGGAGGGGCGCGACGAGGCCCAGGAGGGGTGCTACGGGGCCCAGGAGGGGTGCGACGGGGCGCTACGGGACCTGGGAGGAGCGCGACGGGGCCCAGGAGGGGCGCTAGTGGGCCTGGGAGGAGCGCGACGGGGCCTGGGAGGGGTGCGACGGGGCCTGGCAGGGGCGCTACGAAGCCCAGGAGGGGCGCGACGGGGCCTGGCAGGGGCGCTACGAAGCCCAGGAGGGGCGCTACGGGGCCTGGGAGGAGCGCGATGGGGCCCAGGAGGGGCGCTAGGGGGCCTGGGAGGAGCGCGACGGGGCCTGGGAGGAGCGCGACGGGGCCCAGGAGGGGCGCTAGGGGGCATGAGCGGAAGCGGTAGGTGGGGGGGGGGGGATCCTACCTACGCGTGATACCATATCAGAATAATTGAATAATTGTAAAGTGAGAGTACACACAAATATATCTAAGTTTTGTATCCTCTAAGAGGTGACTCTATACAGTCTATACAAACATGACAAATACACATGTTTGACAGCCTCGACGCGTGACGGCCTCGTCGAGCAACCGTGGCGGCCTTGCCTCACTGCCGCGGCGGCCTCGTCGTGCTGCCGTGGCGTCGTTGTGCTGCCGCGGTAGCTTTGATGCACCAGCGCACGGACGGCCGCGGCCAGCGCACGGTTTTAGCGCTGGCCATCTCGCCCGCACGCCAGCCAGCGCCGCGCCAGCCACGGCAACTCGCCGAAGACTCGCCCCCTTCCTCTGCATTTCCCCCTCCTCCCGCCGCAGCTGCTGGCGGTCTCGTGCCGTCCTCCCCCCCCCCCTGTCGGCACAGTGTGTGCCACGCCGTCGGGTACCTCGGGCGCCGCCGAAGGTGCTGCAGGCCCTGTCGCCGCCGCCGCAGTCGCCGACGTCGCCGCCTCGATTGCCGAGGGGTCAACTCGCTGGTAGATGCCACAAATGTTGTATGACAGTGGGGTGCAAGGGTTTGGGGGTGTTGCGTGTGTGGTGTGCTAGCGCCTACCCAGCCTAGGGGGTGTGTCAAATTATACATGTTATTCATATATAGTTATGTAGGCTTGGTCTGTTAGGTGTGCTACAATATTGGATCCTACTGTAGAGGGTACAACACCCTTCTTGAATCCCTCTCTCTTCTAGTCGAACTCTCTTTTCTCTCGTAACTTTTCTCCCTAGCTAAAACCTCGACATTTCTCATGCCTAGGCTTTAACTCCTTTCAACACCTAGTACCCACCCTAGAGAGAGAAGAGGTTCGACAGAGCTAACCCAGTGCCATGCCACACCCCCCTGCTAGGATCGCGTGTACACCAGGAATTGAACCCTGCATTGCTCTGATACCATAGCATAAAGTCACCAATCCTACTCACAGGGATACTAAGGAATATCCTCAAGGGAGTTTGGCTCCACATATCCACCTTCCCTAGTGAAAACCTCCCTAATACCCTCCCTAGACAGAGAAGAGGTTCGACAGGGCTATTCTTGTGCCACGACAAGTTGAACAGCATTGGAAGCCCCCATAAAAGCCATGTGTGCGAGTGCTGTTAACTGCAAGAACGGTTTGGCGATGAGTGTAAGTTTCCTGCCTGTCCGCGCCTACAATTCCTGTGTAAGTATTCTGCGTAATATTCCGAAGATTGTGACACAACAATGTAGTGGCCAACGCATGGGCCACCTCATGCGAGAGGCGAGCGAGACCTAAAGTGAGGCTACAACAGTTGTCCTATGGTGCTACTCACCAGCAGACAATCAACACAAGCCGAAACAAATCAGCAGTTAAGGCATTGTTGGGCAGCCACAGTGCAAGCCGGGAAAAAACGGTTTGTACGGGAAAAAAATGAGGTGACAGTTGTTTGTTGTGCCGCTGGCAGCCTGGCACCAGCTCACCGAAAGGGCGGCTCAAGCATCGTTGGGCAGCAGGGGTGCGAGCCACGCCAGGTCCGATTTGAGTTGAGGCTGGACGTTGATAGATGTGGAGATGGCGAGGGGGGTCACGGTCACCTGCAGATTGGGTGGGGAAGTGTATGTGGCACATAGAGCAAAGAGGAGAGGGCAGGGAGAGTAGAGAGAGGAAAGGGCAAGTGTGTTCTGATGCGAGGTGGTGATGGCAAAAGGGGATACTGTCACCTGCAAGAGTGGGCGGAACATAGCACATGGTGCTCAGGGCAAGGAACAGAGAGGGAGAGAGAGGAGAGCGCAAACGTAAAATGATTTGAGGCTGGATAATGATAGACGCGGTGGAGTCAAGGGCAGGGTCCTTGTCTGTCAATATGGCAGCTCACATGGCAGCTGATGTGGCAGCTGATGTGGCAGGTCACATGGCAGCTGGCGTGGCAGCTCACGTGGCAGCTCCCAGACCAGCCATCGATTACATATCATACAATGCAGACCCCTTGAATCACACCGCAAAGGATACTCACATAGCCGAGGGCCAGCGCAGCAGAATCGAAGGCTGGGTCCTTGTCCAACACGTCCCACCCACTCGGCTGGGAGGGAGAGGAGCAGGGGGAGCGGGAAGGGGGGAAGACAAGGAGAGGAGTAAGAGGAACGAGAGTTACTGAGAGAGTGAGACAGCCAAGCAGGCAGGGACGAGGAACACAGCACCAGAGTCAAAGGCAGGGTCCTCTCCAACACGTCCCACCCACTCAGCTGGGAGGTAGTGGGTGGGGGCGTGCAGAGAGGGGAGGTGCGGAGGAGGAGAGAGGGGGGAGGAAAGACAGGAAACCCGCGCGCATTAGGAGTCAAAGGCAGGGTACTTGTCCAACACGTCCCACCCACTCAGCTGGGAGGTAGTGGGTGGGGGCGTGCAGAGAGGGGAGGTGCGGAGGAGGAGAGAGAGGGGAGGAAAGACAGGAAACCCGCACGCATTAGGAGTCAAAGGCAGGGTACTTGTCCAACACGTCCCACCCACTCGGCTGGGAGGTGGAGGGAGAGAGGGAGAGGACGAGGGAAGGTGGAAAGGTGAAGCAAGACGCATGAGAGAAAGTGATAGAGCAGCAAGGTGATTGCTTTGCACGTCCCCACCCACTTGGCTGGATGGTAGAGGGAGAGGGAGAGGAAGAGGACGACGGAAGGTGGAAAGGTGAAGCGAGACGCATGAGAGAGTGTGACAGAACAGCAGGGCCCTTGCCTAGAACGTCCCCACTCAGCTGGGAGGGAGAGGAGAGTGGAGGAGCGAGGGGTAGGAGAGGAATGGGAGAGAGGATGGAGAGGTTGAAGGCACATGTCCGCGAGAGGTTTAAGGCCGGATCCTTGTCCACCAGGGAATACCCACTCGGCTGGGAGGTAGTGGGGTCATGGAGAGGGGAGGAGCAAGGCAGAGAGACAGGAGAAGGAGAGGTAGAAGTCACGGGTGTGTGGGAACGTCAACAGCAGGGTCCTTGTCTAGCGCAGCCCACCCACTAGGCTGGGAAATAGAGGGGACGCGGAACACAGAGAGGGCAGAAGGCGGGGAAGTAAGGTGAACGGATGATACTTTCAACACGGAAGGTCATAATGTGACTCCATGGCCCAATGGATAAGGCGCTGGTCTACGGAACCAGAGATTCTGGGTTCGATCCCCAGTGGAGTCGTCTTTATGCATGTTTCTTGCTAACGATTCAGATTTTTCACTTAGTTCCTTCGCCTAATTATGAGGTCGTTTCTCCTGCAGAAAACCCTCCGCAAGTTTCACCTTTCCACAACAACATGCACCGACCATACCCAGCACCACCAAACTCGCCTCATGCTGGGGTTTTTTAGAATTCTAAAGAACCTACGCTACACAGAACCAAGCCCACCTCATGCCTGAAGTGCATCTTATGCAGGAGCTGCAATGGCGCCTCTGCTAATTTCGCCTTACACCACAACATGCACACATGCACCAACCATACACATGCGCCAACCATACACATGCACCAACCATACACATGCGCCAAGCTCACCTCATGCCTGAAGCGCATCTCATGCAGCGGCTGCCATGGCTCCTCCCTGTCCTCCTCACAATACGCAGCATGTTAACAAGCAAAACTATTTCTTACATGACAGCACCAACCTATGTTGCCATAAACGCTTTTTTAGGGGAGCGTCTAGCGTGTATACGCAGACGCTAAATGCAGGCAGATACGCTATACGCTCGGGTAGAATTTCTGGGGCAGCCCGACAAAAAAATTGGGAGTTTTCTTTTCCGCGATTTCTCGACATGGCGAATTCATCGACACAATCGCCCAGTCGCGAAACCCAACCAGGGAGGTCAAAGTGGGTTTCAACAAATTTCCCTCCCCTTCACCGCACTGAACTCCCCTACATCTAGAAAACCCAACCTTCACTCACAAATCCTCCTCTCTCCACTCTCTCCCTTCCCCCCGTCCATTCGCGTTAACCCTAATAGAAATGCCGTCGCGTAGTCAGCGCAATTCTCCAAGCGACTCCGCCTGATAGTCTACCCGTCGCGTTGTTAATTAAGTTATCGCACTGCGATAATGTCGACCGCTTTTAGCGATGCAGGCGCGCAAGGTTATTGCGTCTACATCGTCGACGACATACGAACCTGATAGTACACACTAGGTGTACAAATACTTCAGGCTTTTTGGTAAGGAGGTAGGAGTCACGCAGAAAGTCGGTGTAGGCTTCTTTTTCCCTGCCCAGGTAAACATTTCAGCCTGCCCGGGCTAGCGTATACCTAGCGTATGAAAGCCCGAGTCCAAGCGTTTAGCGTATATACGCTAGCGTATATTCGCCAAACGCGTTTATGGCAACTTAGGCACCAATCCCACCTTTTGTCTGAAGTGCATCTTATGCAGGGGCTGCCACCTCGCCTCTGCTAGTTTCGCCTTCCAATACCAAGTATGCACACATGCAGCATCTCATACACAGCACCGATCTCACCTCATGCCTGAAGTGCATCTTATGCAGCGGCTGCCATGGCTCCTCCCCATCCCCCTCCTTGCCCTCCTCGCCTGGAATCTTGCACCGCGCTGCCCCCTGCAAGGGGGATAGCGTGGAACATGAAACCCAATGGCAGGGCATGGCAAGAGTGAAAATAAATCATATAAATATATACTTATAATTATAATATACTTTTGAATCATCTAAATAATAGCCGCCATATGCCCTGGTCTCCTTGCCTGAAATCTTGACCGTGTTACCCCCTGCGAATCGGGTGGGGCAATGAAGGTCACACACCAGGGCACAACACGATGTGCAATCACGTTAAATGGGAGGAAACAAGCAGCCTATACCCTACCAGTTATACATGTGGTAATTGTACTCACAGCAGCAGAGGCAGCCGGCCCCAGTTGAGTGAGAGACACCGGGCTGGGCCCAGTCATTCCCGGCAGACCCTCCCTTCTTACCGGTAAGAGTTAGGGTTCAGACTGCAGGGTTACGGGCATACGGGTTAGGGTTCACTCACAGCAGCAGAGGCAACCGATCCCAGTTGAGCGAGAGACACCAGGCTGGGCCCAGTCAATCCTGGCAGGCCCCTCCCTTCAGCCAGTAGGGATTGGAGTTCAAGGCTGAGGGATTGGAGTTCAAGGCTGAGGGATTGGAGTTCAAGGCTGAGGGATTGGAGTTCAAGGCTGAGGGATTGGAGTTCAAGGCTGAGGGATTGGAGTTCAAGGCTGAGGGATTGGAGTTCAAGGCTGAGGGATTGGAGTTCAAGGCTGAGGGATTGGAGTTCAAGGCTGAGGGATTGGAGTTCAAGGCTGAGGGATTGGAGTTCAAGGCTGAGGGATTGGAGTTCAAGGCTGAGGGATTGGAGTTCAAGGCTGAGGGATTGGAGTTCAAGGCTGAGGGATTGGAGTTCAAGGCTGAGGGATTGGAGTTCAAGGCTGAGGGATTGGAGTTCAAGGCTGAGGGATTGGAGTTCAAGGCTGAGGGATTGGAGTTCAAGGCTGAGGGATTGGAGTTCAAGGCTGAGGGATTGGAGTTCAAGGCTGAGGGATTGGAGTTCAAGGCTGAGGGATTATGGTATCAAGGTCAAGGTTCACTCACAGCAGCAGACGCAACCGATCCCAGTTGAGCGAGAGACACCGGGCTGGGCCCAGTCATTCCCGGCAGACCCCTCCCTCCTGCCATACCAGGAAGCCCCCTGCCTCCCACCATCCCCGGCAGTCCTCGCCCCCCCATCATCCCCGGGAGCCCCCTTCCCCCTCCCCCTGCCCCCCCAATGCCTGCCAGTTGCACCCCTGTGCGCTTCTTGGCAATGTGCGTCCAGGGGAACGCCACCCTCGCCTGACCTTGCTGGGCCAGCTTGAAGCCCTGAGAGGGAATGAGGGGAGGGAAGACAAAATGAGGCACGAGTCACCCTCGCTGTGCGCTTCTTGACTATGTGCGCCCAGGGGAATGCCACCCTCGCCTGGCCCTGCTGGGTTGAAGCCCTGAGAGGAAATGAGGGACGAGGATGGGAAGAATGACGCAGAAGGGGGTTGTAGACAAGGGGAAGAAAGACAGGGTGAGGCACGACTCACTCCTGCTCGCTTGTTAGTGGCGGTTATGTAGTTCGCCTCCCACAGATTCTGGGCTCGAAGCAAACTCCTCTTTTCATGTACAATGCAAAGGCAAGCAATCCGCAAGATACGCTCAAGGTCGACCTGGCTGTTGCTGCCACGGATGCAACTCACCTTGGCCTTGCTGGGGTCCAGGGGCCCGTTGACGCTGAGTAAGAGAGGGTCCCCGTTGCTAATACTGCCAGTCTTCCTGTTGCTTGAGCTACCAGAATTTCTTATTTGCGAACCTCGGAGTGCAACTCACCTTGGGCTTGCTGGGGTCCAGGGGTCCGTGGAGGTTGGGCAGCAGGGGGTCCTTGCCTCTGCTCGCCCCAAGTTGCTTGCCCTTGTTGCTACCACCACAGAATTTCATACTCACCTTGATCTTGCTCGCCTCAAGGGTCACATTGACGTTGAGCAGAAGAGGGTCCCCACACCTGCTGCTGCTGCTAGACAGCTTGTCGTGCTTCTCCCTCTTCTCCCCCTTCTTCTGAACTATCCTTCCTCCCTGCCCTCCTTCTTCCTTTGTTCATTCCTTCTCTGGTAGGTCATGACTGCTGCTGTGGGACCAAGCGCCCTTGTTACAAGCCTCTTCCTGGCTGCTCAGATCCACTTAGGACTGAATTCCCGTACTGCTGGACTCTAGTAGGCGTAGAGTGTAATTGCAGTATAGTAGGAAAACATACAAGCAAGAAACGATTAGCCTACTGAGTCTCGATCTAACGATTAGCCTACTGAGTCTCGATCTAACGATTAGCCTACTGAGTCTCGATCTATTTACACTTCACTTTCCCCTGCTCCCTTGCCTACCTCCCTTCCTTCCCTTGGGAACTGAGATTCCCTGGTCCCTACCCTTCGCCAGATGGTGCTATTGCTGACGTCTCTCCCCCCCCCACCTCATCCTGGCTTGCGCCTCGAAATTGTAAGGTCCCATTATCCCCGCGCCTCGATCCCTGAGCTCCTTCATACTTTGTACAGTATAGTACTGTACCTCTCTGTCCTGTATTTTGTATTTCAATTAGGCATGCCAACTCTTTCTTCTCATAATACTCTGCTCCACTCACCTCTTCCCCTGCTGCTGTGTTAACCGTGAAGAGGCTCATGCCTCTCCACGGGTAACGCGACAAGCTTGCCAGAGATTACTGCTGTTTCTGGATGTCTCTTATCAAACTCACCTTGGACTTGCTCGGCTCAAGGGGCACATTGACGTTGGGCAGCAGAGGGTCCCCACTGCTGCTGCTGTTGGTTAACCGGCAAAAGGCTGCCTCTGTTAGCGCCTCATAGTGCGACTCACCTTGCTCTTGCTGGGGTCAAGGGGCACGTTCACCTTCAGCAGCCGAGGGTCTCCACCGCTGCTGGATAGCTGGACAGAGGCTGTTGCTGCTGCTGCCTGTTCTGAATGTCGCTTATCAGACCCACCTTGCTCTTGCTCGGGCCCAGGGGCACGTTGACGTCGGGCAGCAGAGGGTCTCCACTGCTGCTGCTGTTGGTTAACTGGCGAAAGAGTGCTTCTGTTAGCGCCTCATAGTGCGACCCACCTTGCTCTTGCTGGGGTCCACTTGCACATTCACGTTGAGAAAGAGAGGGTCCCTGCTGCTGCTGGATAGCTGGCCAGAGGTTGTTGCTGCTGCTGCTGCTGCTGCTGCTGCCTGTTCTGAATGTCTCTTATCAGACTCACCTTGCTCTTGCTGGGGTCCACGGGCACATTCATGTTGAGCAGCAGACGGTCCCCGCCGCTGCTAGACAGCTGGCCAGAGGCGGCTGCCTCGAGAACGCAGCGAATGAGAGGCAGACACGTGGCAGCAGCAGGAGAGAAGTGGGCGTCAGTGCTTGATTCGGCCCTAATGAAGAGAGGGAAAGGGAGGGAGGGGAAGGTGGGGGCGGGTGGTTGTGAGAGAATGCGAGGAAGAGTGGAAAAGAGGAGGCGGGATGAAATGGGAGTAGAAGGCCGGCCACGAGTGAAGGGCAGGGGGGGTAGGGTAGGGCATACGACACATTTGACTGACACGGGCCAGGAGACTTTCGAGTTGTATCAAGAGCCACCTCGAGTGAAGGGCGAAACAATTGAGCTTGAACATGTTTCACATGAGGCATGGAGAACGTTTCGAACCCACCAGTCGAGGGAGATGGAGATGCCTGGCACGCCCTGAATCACTGCCTCCCTTGCACCCGCTACAGTCCCGGAATAGATGCTGGGGGAAGGAGGGGGGTTTAGGTGGTGGGGATTGAGGGAGAGGAATTTTATCAGGACTGAGGGCAATAGTAGTAGAGCTCGGAACGCCCTGACTCGCTGCTTCTCTTTCACAAGCTACAGCCCCGGAATAGATGCTGAGGGAAGGAGGAGGTTTAGGGTGGTGGGAGTTGGGGGAGAGGATCCTTATCGGGAATGAGGGCAATGGAAGTTGCGCCTGGTGCGCCCTGAATCACTGCCTCCCTCCCTTGCACCCGCTACAGTTCCGGAATAGATGCTGGGGGAAGGAGAGTTTGGGTGGTGGGGGTTGGGGACGGGTGAGTGAGAATGACTTGTAATCGGGAATGAATGAGGGCAATAGACGTAGCGCCTGGTGCGCCTAGAACGTTTTGAGACGTCTCAAAACTCGTGAAGGGCCTAATGCTGGTGTTGCGGAATGCTGATTCTGCTACCATCAATCAGGGCAACATGAACGTACTCCGACATCTCAAAAAAAAAAAAAAAAAAAAAAAAAAAACTAGTGCTACTGACATGGAATGCTGATTCTGCTACACGGCTCAAAACCCTGAAGGGGCCTAATGCTGGTGATGCGGTATGCTGATTCTGCTGCATGCTGCCAATCAGGGCAACATGAAGGTGCGAGAAGAAAGCAGACAGGGAGTCTGCGAGCTAGCATGTGACATGCCAAGGGTGACATGGCACGGTAACTCACACTTGGCGGCCTGTGTTGGCACCCTTGTTGATGCCACTGATGACCTGAACAGGAGTTGACAATGGTTAAGGAAAGCATGGAAGAGAAGGCAAGGATCAAAGGAGGAAAAAAAAATTGAGAGAAAAGCTTAGGCATCTTAAGGCCTGATGGGAACAGCTCAACTGTGACAGAAACAAGAGTGATATTATGGAGTCAACACTTGACGAGAGTGAGTTTATAAAGAAGAGAAAATCCGGAAGCAAAACATCTCAGGCTGCACTGTAGGCCACGGCAGGAAGGGCATGGCTGAGCCACTGAATGTTAGTTGATTCCAGAGGACGGCTCAGCCTTGAACACGCTCGAAACCGCACGAATCACACTTCACTGCTCTGAACCACTTCGTACCAGGAGAGGCTTGACGCCCTTGAAGAGCTGGCCCGAGAGACCCATGGACGCACAGTCAGCTGGCGTGCCTGTGGGGAGCAGGGGAGGGAGGGAGGAAGGGAAATCATGTCATGTCTAAGGGAGCATAAAACCGAGGATTGAGGTGTGCTGAGGGGCTGGCCCGAGCTGGCGTGCCTGTGGGGGACAAGGAGGGCAAATTTGATACGAAAAGATGTAGATACAAGGGATGCGGTGGACCCATGGATGCATGCATAGTCTGCTGGCGTGCCTGTGGGGATCGTCTTGAACTGCAGGGAATGCAGACAGCTAAGACAACCCACCGCGCGCACTGGCGTTTCTGCAGGGAGTAGGTGAGGGGAACATGAAGACAGCCTAGACCGAGTAGGCCACAGCAGCACAAACCTGTAAACGAGTAGGCCACAGCAGCACATACCTGTGAAGGAGTAGGCCACAGCAGCACATTCCTGTAAACGAGTAGGCCACAGCAGCACATACCTGTGAAGGAGTAGGCCACAGCAGCACATACCTGTGAAGGAGTAGGCCACAGCAGCACATACCTGTGAAGGAGTAGGCCACAGCAGCACATACCTGTGAAGGAGTAGGCCACAGCAGCACATACCTGTGAAGGAGTAGGCCACAGCAGCACATACCTGTGAAGGAGTAGGCCACAGCAGCGCCTTGCAGCCCTCAACCAGAACCACCGCAAGCGACAAGAGTCTGACCTCTCCCTGGGAGCAAGCCGCTATGAAGCAGCACGATATACTCCCCGGCCATACCTGTGCAGGAGTAGGCCACAGCAGCGCCCTTATAAACCTCCACTAGACTTGCGGATATCCCGAATAGTGATGGACTGCGCACACGCTGACCTCTCCCTGGTAGCAGGATATGAAACGGCGCGCTAAAGGAGAACAGACCTGTGAGGGAGTAGGCCACAGCAGCGCCCTCGTAGTCCTCCACTAGATTTGCCTCGAGCGTCTCCCGGATAGTGATGGACTGCGCACACGCTGACTTCTCCCTGGCATGGCCACAAGGGTGGCGTGTGAAACACAGAGAGGCAAGACGAGGACGTGGTTCAGGCTTGGGTGCTTAGCATCGAATGTGCCACGTGCACGTGGAGGCTCCTCCCTTACTGCACGTGGAGAGAGAAATGGATGAAGTGCGGGAGGAAGGAAGGATGGGAGGGTAGGCTGTGAAGTCAGTGCTGGAGGAAAGGGGGAGGTAGGAGGAAGGGCGGACAGGAAAAACTTTACACGTCATGAGGAAGAGGAGGTAGGGAGGCGGAAGGGGAGGCAATCCTGGTGTGTCAAGCTGGCGTCAAGCGAGTACATGCAGACACGAGGCTGCATGGCAGATGGGAGGTGTGAGTGAATGTGCACTGAGGCGTCAACCCCACGTGTCATAAAGACAAGCCAAGTATCTTAAAGCCAAGAAGATTAAAGCCCAGTGAACTTAGGAGAACTTGCGAAGCAATGTTCAACAGAGGGTTGGCAACGCACACGTCAGGCGCGCCGCGCGCACACGAAGACATGCGAAGAGAGGGTCAAGTGAAGGCAGGGCGAAAATTGGGGCGAAGGCAAGACACACGTGAGACTGACAGGATGACTCACGGGAACGTAACGTACCCGTCAGGCGGACGAGAGGGCCACGACGGCCGCAACGTACCCGTCAGGCGTGCACATGAAGACAAGGCGCGGCCAGAGAGGGCCAAGCGAAGGCAAGACGAGGATAGGGTCCAAGGTGATGCACGCGTGAGGCGGAAGAGATGGCCAAGAGCGGAAGGACCCAAGGCAGGCAACGTACATGTCGGGCGCGCACATGAAGACACGACACGACGCGGCCAGAGAGGGTCAAGCGAAGGCAAGGCACGGAGTGGTGGGAAAGAATCATACATGCGAGGCAGAAGAATGGGACTCGAGGTACCGTACACGTCAGGCGCGCACACGCGCACACGAAGACGTGGCCAAGTGAAGGCAGGACGGGGATCGAGTCGACGGAATCATACACGTCAGGCAGACGATGTGGTAACGTGGGGACGGAGCCATGGCCGCGTACACGCCAGGCGCGCACACGAAGACGCGGCAGAAGCCGGGCGAGCCGAGCACGGAACCCACAGTACCGTACACGTCAGGTGGAAGAGAAGGTCAAGAGGCGAAGGACACGGACATGGACCCAAGGTAGCGTACGCGTCGGGCAAACAAGAAGCTCGACATGAACGTACACGTCAGGCGCGCACACGAAGACGCGGCAGAAGCCCGCCGAGCCCAGCACCGACACGAGCGCCTTGATTCCCGCTGCCTCGATCCCGTCGTCGTTCACCACCAGGACAGCTGGCAGCGCGTCATTGGGCGCCATGCTGCTTGTATCGAAGCGAGGTATAGACGACAGGATACAGGGAAGCGCAGGCGGCTAAGAAAAGTCAGGAATGGAATCCAAGCGAAGGAAACTATGAGGGTACGCGAGAGAGGAGGGCGAGAAAGTGCAGGAAGGTCATGGGTGAAAACGGAAAACGGTCGAGTTTAGCCGGGCTCGGAGAGTGTATTCATTCGGCTCGCATGCCAACGAGCCGAAAACAGGACTTCAGACGCCACGGGATTCAGTTGAATGGGGATCCGAGTGAGGGAGTTTATAAAAGAGGCATTCCAACGCGTTGCAACGTGGAAGGGATTGTTACTGAATATAAGAGGCATAAACAAACACATCTGATAGCCCAGCTCAGGCCTGGTAAGGGAGAGCTTATCCGCACCATTATAAGATTCCTTACGCAAATGAAAGGGTGTTGAAAATGCAATGTTCGTGTAACTGCCTCTATGCTTGGAAACGCCGATGTCCGGAAGACCTCCGTGGATCAATGGCTCACTCCACGGGATGCTGATGCTTACGTAGTGGAAGGCACACTACCTCTCCAGACCACGCGACGCTGTTACTGCACGAGCACGAGAAACGGGTGAGAATGCAGGTGTGAAATAGCGGATCTAGCAGGTATGCATAGGCAACAGGTACGTGCGAGGTGGTATGTGTGGCATGGAGGATTTGGCTTAGAATTCGGATTCTCGTGAAAAGAAGCTCCATTGAAGACACGCTGTGCCCTGAACAACAACTTAAAAGCTCGCATGTAAACCGATTATCACTTGTTATATAGAAAGTACGAGAGTAAACGCGATGAAACGGATTTGATTGTATCATACACATTAATTTTATAGTTCTAATGGATTTAATTCCAAGGAAAAAAGACACATTACGAGATGCGATTTAGATCATACTTATTGAGGATGCACATGACTCAACATTGTTGGAGAATGTGTAATCGCGGCCCTAATTATGAGCCTGTCTTTGACGGGTTTGCTTTGCTCTTTCTGACGAAAGTTCTCGCGCTCTAGACAGCTGACGTGGCGTTTGCCAGCACCGCGCTCTACATCGCAGACGTCCATCATTGTGGCAGTGTACGTCATGTACGACACCGTTGAGTCGAGCGGCCCCATAGTTCTACAAATAAGCCGATTGTGGCATGTAAGCAGGAGATTACTGATCAGGAGGAGACTTTTGATCTAACGACCGTCGCGCACCGTCGCGTCGCACCATCGCGGCCAGTTACTCAGCCATCGGATTCAGTGGCAGTCGTGATTGAAACTCCTCTGTCGACCCTTCTCGATCGACCCTTCTCAATCGACCCTCCCGTCTCAATTGACCCTCGTTGATCGACCCTTCTCGATCGACTTATCTTGATTGACCCTTCTCCATCCACCGTTCTTATAGTCGGGCGTTGACTTTCCGCGTTGACCAAGTTGGTCGTCGCGCTGAAGTAGGCTGCTGCGTAGATTGGAGGTATGTCAAGGGCATGATCATTTGATCGGGGTCTCATATGTGGGGGGTGAACGACAAAGGTGCACTGCACAGGAATCCGGCGACGAGGCGATTGTCGCTGCGTTTTAAAGCCCGTGTCTCATAATTAAGAGGCGGGCTGAGAGACGCGCTGAGAGCGCAATACTCGATCCTCCTCCGCTTATTCCCTGCGCGCTTCTCTCCTTGTCCTACTTTCCTTCTCCCTCCAAACCCTCCCTCGTATCCCCCACCACTCTTCACCTGGTCGCCCACACCTTTCCCTCATGCTCCTCGTTACGGCCGTCATACCCTTCCACGTCTGTTTCGCAACCGTCTGCCGTATTTCCTCCCGCCCCGTCCCTCCATACGCCTCTACTTCTCTCCTCTCCCCCGTCTCCTCCCCCTTCCCCTTCCCCTTTGCCCCATCTCCTTTCCCCCTTCCCACTTGCCCCTTGCACCTCCCCCCCCCCCCCCCCCCTTCTCCTCCCCCGGATTTGACACACTCCACTGTGCCTCTTAATCTCTTTCTCACTCCTTTCTCCTCCACCCACCCACCCTCCTACCCCCCCACCACCCCCCCTTCCCTTTTGACTCGTCTTAAAAGTCGCCCCCCCCCTTCCCCTTTTCCTCATTCCCTCTCCATGCTCCTCCACCCACCCTCTTCCCCCCTCCTCCCCCCCCACCCCACCCCTCCCCCTCCCACCCCTCCACCGCTCCATCTCATAAACTCCTTCCGTTTCTCTTGTCTCCCTCTGCCCTCTCGTCTGCCTGTGACCCCTCTCCGTCGCACACCCTTCCCTTCCCCCCCACACCGCAGGCTATATACCAGAGCAAGTGCTAGGAGAGGGAAAGTGGTAAACGAGAGGCATGTGGGGCCATGTCACCTGCTGTGAAGGCAGAGGCAGCAGCAGAGGGGGAGCGGGAGGCAGGGGTACAATAGAAACCTTAAACCCAGAGAGCCTCCCCCAGTGAGCCCTCCCCCCCATCAAAGACTCTACAGTATTCCAGCACCATGTCATCTTTCGAGGCGCCTGAAAAATAGACTTTCCGTGCCATCCCTTTTTGCCCACCGGTTATCTTTTCCCTTCCATCAAAGGCTGTCCAGTATCCCAGCGCCATGTCATCTGCTGTGAAGGCAGAGGCAGCAGCAGAGGTACAGGAGAAGCCCCATAACATCCTTGTCGTTCTCTCACAGTGTCTTCCCCTCACCTTCTGCCGACCCCCCCATATCCACCTGCAGCGAACCCCCCTTATTAGATTTTCCACGTTAAAGCACGGCCATGTCGACAGTTGTGAAGGCAGAGGCAGCAGCAGCTAAGGGCGAGGCAGAGGCGCAAGGGAAGCCGAAGAAGAAGATCTGCTGCGCGTGCCCCACCAGAAGTACTGACCCCTTCTGTTTTCTTTCTCGTTGCCATCCCCCTTGTGTTCCCCCATTGGCCATCCCTTCAATCAACGTCTCTTCTGCATTCCGCAGCCATGTCATCTGTTGTGAAGGCAGAGGCGGCAGCAGCAGCTAAGGGCAAGGCAGAGGTGCAGCAGAAGCCGAGGAAGAAGATCTGTTGTGCGTGCCCCACCAGAAGCACTCACCCCTTATGATTTCCTTTTCCTTGCCCTCCCTTTTTGCCCCCCTTTGGCCATCCTCTCCATCAGCGTCTCTTCGACGTACCACCGCCATGTCATCTGCAGTGAAGGCAGAGGCAGGAGCTGCAACTAAGGGCGAGGCAGACATGCAAGAGAAGCCGAAGAAGAAGATTTGCTGTGCGTGCCCCACGACTAAGAAGCTGAGGGATGAGTGCATAGTGGAGCATGGGGAGGAGGCGTGCACCAAGTGGATAGAGGCACACAAGCAGTGCTTGAGAAGCGAGGGCTTCAATGTTTGAACCGAGCTTGGTATGGTACCAGTAGCTGTGGACTGAAAGTGTTGCATATAGCCGAAGAAGATTTGTTGTGCGTGCCCCACGACCAAGAAGCTGAGGGATGGGTGCATCGTGGAACATGGGGAGGAGGCGTGCACCAAGTGGATAGAGGCACAGAAGTGTTGGGCTGAGAAAAGCCCTTAGGATCTTTCCAGAGACTAAGTCCCAGTTGTAGAATGAGACTTGAGTAGTGCAGCGGAAGTTGAGTAGTTGAACCCTTTTACTACTATTATGAGAACAAGTGATTGATTGAAAGAAACAAGCATACAGCAATATATAGAAAATAGGGAAGTAAAGCAGTTGTAGAATACAGTTGCAGGAGCGGTTATCGAGTCGCACAGCGACTCGATTGTCGCTTCGGTTACCATCCGCGCAGTTGTAACGGTCAGTCGCAACCTCCAGTTGCGATCCTTCGAGTCCCTTCGCGTTCTTTGTCCATCCCCTCGTGTAACCTCCGTTGACTCGCGTACCCGTTACGATCTTCCTCGAGTGTAGTGTTACACTTCAGAAACGCTTAAGTCCTTTGAGATATTTCCAACAAGAAGCAGTGCTTGAGAAGTGAGGGATTGAATGTTTGATTGATTTCAAGTAGTCACACCGTACCTGCCGTAGGGTGGTAATTGATGCTGCAACTGTACTGTAATTGATGAAGCTTTGGGTGGTATCGTAAGAAGGAAATCAGCTGTTTGTGTCCCACCACTACGAAGGATGAGTGCTTTGTGGAGTATGGGTAGACTGTATCCCTCGCCATTTTCCCTTAGTCACACTTTTCCCGCTACTCTAACATGGTATCAATGCCACTTCACCGCTGTATTCCCGTTTGTAGCGAAAGGCCGTCGTGCCTACCGTTCTCCCATGCCTTCTGTTAGAGTGAGAACTGAATGATTGAATAGAGGGGGAGAACAAGGGTATATACATAAGAGTGTTGTACCCTCTAAGAGATGACCCTATACAGTCTATACAAATATGAGTTATACATATATTTGACACACCCCCTAGACTGCATAGGGGCAAATCCGGAACAAGCAGCTCAGGGCGGCACTACTAGTCCAGCCACTGAGACAAGGGTCTAAAGACCAGTCAAAAAGAGTACAGGCAAGACAAGAACAAGACCAGGGCGGCACTACTAGTCCAGCCACTGGGAAAGGACACAAGTCCAGTCTGAGTACATAGATAGATATATATAGGACAATACAAAGTCAAGGTCCTAGCAAGTGAGAGGCTACAGGAACTAGACCGAGATGTACACAGTGCCGCTGATGATCTTTAGGCGCAAGCGCCTTCGTAAAGATATCAGCTGTGTTGGCACCAGAGGCCAAGTGAACTACGCGGGCCTGGCGACGCTGCTGTAGCTCGCGCAGGAGGAAGTACCGCAGCTGAATGTGCTTCGCTCTGCCCTCAAGTCGAGGCTCCTGACACAGGAGTATCATGGCCCTGTTGTCAGCGTACAGGACCGGGGCAGAGCTAGGCCGCTCACCTAAGTCTGTGAGCAAGAAGGTCAGCCAGCGGAGCTCCTGTGCCGCCATGGCACCAGCGTAGATCTCAGCCTCACATCTCGACTGAGCAACAGATGACGAGCGAGTGGATCTCCAAGAGATAGCACCCGAACCAAGGCTAAAACAGTAGCCCTGCGACGACCTGAGCGTCTCAGAGTCGTCTGCCCAAAAAGCGTCTGTGTGCCCAGTGAGGACCATTGGCCTGCGTCCTCCTAACACTAACCCCATGCCTGATGTACTTGCTAGAAATCGCAAAACCCTCATAGTTGCCGACCAGTGCTGTGGTCGGTGTCTGCCAGTAGCCACAAAGCGAGCCAGGATGCTGAGAGGGTATGCGAGATCTGGGCGAGTGCAAGTCATCAGGTACATGAGGCAACCCACCAGCTCTGCGTAGGGGCCGCTGGGCTCTACTGACTCCTCAGGAACAGGAGCGGAAAGCCCGTGGTCTACAGGTAGAGGTGTGGGCTCTGCAGAGGAGAACTGAAGACCGAACCTCTGAAGGACCTGACGCACCAAGTGTGACTGGGTCAGAGTGATGGTGCTTGCTGCTCTGTCCCTAGAGATCTGCAGGCCAAGATAGCGACGCAGCTCTCCAAGATCAGTGCAGGTGTGTGAGAGTACGCCTCCGTTACACCACTTGGCCTTTTCCATATTTCATCTTCATTTCATTCCTCTTTTTATCTCATCTCCTTTTGCCTCATATTCCCCATTTTCCATTATCCTTTGGTTTCTTCCTTTCTTATTATTATATCACCGACCAGGCATGGAATGTTCTAGACACGCTATCTAGCGTAATCCTGCCGTAATCCCTTAAAGCCAATAGCCTCGCGTGGCTATACGCAGGGTGATTCTATCTTCTAGAAGGGTCTATTCCCTTAGGATAAGATAAACCTGGTTACCTGATGTACTCTGGAAGTATAAAAGCGCCTTGTACTGATCGATAGTGCAACCTTTCCTCGACACATTCGATCCTGTGACACTTGGTAATCAGAGCTTTTCTCACTCGACCGCGCTCAGCTAAGCAGCAGCAGCGGGGATCCTGCCTCGAAAAACCGCCGGGGGCGACCAATTCGACGCCGATTCTGGTAAGCACCAGCTCCGCGATTTTCGAATTACCCCCTCCGTGCGTGTTTTGAACAGGATGGCAACCTTCGACAACGCCGAGGTTACCCAGCAGCTCTTCGCGCGCATCGCAGCCCTTCAGGAGGAAATGCGAGCGGATCGCGAAGCGTGGCGAAACCAGTTCGAGCGAGTAAC